CAAAACACAAAACCTGTATAGCTTCTGCCCTCAGGTAGCTTATATGTTGATAGGGGAGATGAGGTGAGTTTGTAAGTCACTCAGAGGAGGAAAGAACAGGTTATTTTCCAGCTAGGGGATCAGGGAAGGCATAGTATGGGGAAGACAGTATTAGTTTCACCTTAAAAGATGTGTAGGATTTGGGCTGGGTGCAGTGGCTTACTCCTATAATCCTAGTACTCTAGGAGGCCGAGGCCAGAGGATCCCTTGAGCTCAGGAGTTCCAGACCAGTCCAAGCAAGCACAAGACCCTGTTTCTACAAAAATAGAAAAATTAGTCAGATGTTGTGGTTGGAGCCTATAGTCTCAGGTACTTGGGAGGCTGAGGTAGGAGAATCGCTTGAGCCCTGGAGTTTGAGGTTTCTGTGAGCCATGATGATGCCATGGCACTCTAGCCTGGGCAATAGATTGAGACTCTGTCTAAAAAAAAAAAAAAAAAAGAGACATGTGTAGGATTCAGACCTGTACCCATGTCAGTGAGAGACATTTTAAACAGTGGAAATAATATAGACAAAACGAAGAACACTTCATACATAGAAGTTCTTTAGTTTGGTTAAAGATATCTTGAGTCGTCGAAATCAACATTCCAAAGATAGGCTGGGGCCAGATGTTAAAAGGCCTTTTAAATTCTCTGTTTCTGAGTTTCTTGATTTTGTTGGCAGTGGAGAATATTGAAAAATTTTGTCAGGGCCATGCCATGACCAGAGCTATATTTCAGGAAGAGCAATCCTGTGGCAGTGTACAAGAAGAGCTGGCAAGGAGAGAGACAGGATGCAGAAGGACGGTGTGGAGGCTACAGCAGCAGATCGTGGGCGAAGTAACAGGGTCTGAGGATTAGGATCATGGCCACCCAGAACAGTGGAGTGAAGAAACAGACTGGAGATTGGGTGCAAAGATAGAGCCAATGAAGGATTCAATGAGAAAGGAGAGATAACTGGAAGGATTCTAGGTTGAGTAACTGGGAAGATAACTGGGAAACGGAGGACTGAGGAAGGGGGGAGAGAGAAATACTTGGGGATTCATTATGTAAGTTGCTAGTTGCAGCCTTAAGAATGGATGGAATTGCCATAGGAGAGGTGCACAGAGGGAAGAATAAAGAAGGCAATGGACAATATTCAGGACACAGAGGGAGGAAAGAAGCTAGAAAGAAAGCAGCAATCGGAAAGGTAAGGAAGAAGATGTACAGAGTCACTGAAGAAACAGGAGTACGGAAGAGCAGGAAACAGCAGTTCCTAGTGTCAAGAAGCACAGAGAAGTTGGGATGAATGGCATAGAAAAAGGCATTGGAGTTAGGAGTCAGGAGATTACTGGTGATCTTCAAGGGAGCAGCCTCAGTGAATTATGGAGGTAGAAACCAGATGGGAGGGAATTTTGAGTTAGATTTGAGGATGTAACCATTGATCGCCTTTGCAGTAAATCTGTCTAGAAAGGAACGCTGAGAGGGGATGAGGTTAGGCATGAGGTGATGAGGTTAAACTATATTGCAAATGGAAAGGAAAAGTGCCGACGTCTAGAGAGCCTGAGGACATAGAGCTGATCGATCTCGGAGACTGACTTGACGTGGAAGGGATTCCACAGTTTTAAGACTTGGACTGGAAGAAGAGAGATGCCCTTGATCCATAGAAATAAGTCATACATTATTAATAGAAGCAAGCTTGGTTTCCAAGATGACAAGTTTGATTTTAGACATGTTCAGTAATTTTTTCTAGGGGTATTAAGTAGAATGCCCACCTTTTCTCTGCTCCCAGTGTCTTCCAACGACTAGAATGAGAATCTCTTTGTTAAAGCAGACTGTGTCTCTCTCCTGGCTGTTTTGGGGGACTCTATTTGGAGATTGGTCACTAAGCTTCCAAATCTCTCAGGAATCTCATTCATACCTGAGATTCTAATTAATTCTAATATCTAACTCTGTGAACCGTCACATAGCAAACCATAATAAATTGCTGGTCCCCAATAGCCATGCGGAGAGGTCATCCAGGTGATTTATCTCAAACTGGTCAGACTCCAAAGGCAAACCAGTAACCAGGAACTTTTTGTCCCAGCAAGTCCAAAGGATGTCCCTAATGCCCGGTACATGTGACTCTTCTGCTTTCCATTAGGGCCCTGGGTCTCAAATACCATCTTCCTTGCTCTATAGCTAAGTCCTCAAGGACTCAAGCCAAGATCTGATTTTGAGCCAGGTATGTGAAGTATTGAGTCCCAGGTCTGGGCTCCTAAAGCCAAAATTCCGAGGAAAGGAGCATCTTTCTAATATTTTTAGAAAGATCCAGCACATTGATCTATTTTTTAATGTTCAATGACCATGGAGTGGCCTGAGTCTTTTACTACTCATATTTTCTACCCAAAATAAAAAGGATCCTTTTTCTGCTGGCCCTTGCTGTCTGCTGTTTTTGGTTTTCAGTAGCTGAAATTTTCCGTTGAGGTTCTTTTCAACGCCTACATGCAAACTGAAGAGCCACTCAAGCTTTGGTGGGATGTTACCCACAGCTGGAGGGATGGAGGAAGGGAGGAGGGTATAAGCCTCAGGTGCATCCTTCCCTTAAAAGAAAAAAAAAAATTTTTTTTTCAAACTTAAGCAAATCATTTCCATAAGAAGGTAAGCAAGGAAATGAACTTCTTCCGAAGGAGGAAAATAGATATCCATTCATGTAGGTGGATAAGCCAGCTACGAAGGATGGGCAGATTTGAAACGTTGACTGTTATCCTGCAGCCCCACATCTCTGCAGAAGAGTGAAAGGTTGTGAACCGTGAACTGTGGCGAGAAGCAGGGAAACGGCGTCACAGCCATGGCTCCTCTGCTGGTGGTTAGGCCCTGTCTTGCTCTATTAAGCAAACACAGTTATTGTAGATGAAAGGTAATCTTGATAGAAGTGAAAATTGAAACTTGGGTTGAAGGTAGCCAGCCAGGCACAGCTGCAGTTGGACTTCCTCCTGCGTGGCTACAGGAGCAACACTCACTGATGTTTTTTGGAAGGGGTGTGGTTTTTGTTAATATCTGTTTTTTTTTTCAGAGTGTTTTTAACATCAGAGGGTTTTAACATCTATACCACTGATGGAAGGATGTGGAATCTAGTTGGTTAAGAAGCCATAGACTTCATGTGTCTAGCGTGGGAGGTTGAATCCAAGTAATTAGTAGTTCAGAGTTAAGGTGAACATTCAAGTCACACTTCTGCAAGTAACTTGCTGTGTGACCTTGGAAAAAAATCACTGAAAAGGTCTCTGCTCCCAGATTTCCTAGTCCAGTCGAAAAGAAGGTTAGATTAGAGGGTCTCTAAATTCTCCGCCAGCCCTAAATGCCATCAATTTGTGATTCTTCAAGTGGCGATGTACAACTTTGTATTGCTAAGGACTAGTGTCTGAAAAAATAAGCATTTGGCTGGGTATGGTGGCTGATGCCTGTCATCCTAGCACTCTGGGAGGCCGAGGTGGGTGGATTGCCTGAGCCCAGGAGTTTGAGACCAACCTGAGCAAGCGGGAGACCCCATCTCTACTAAAAATAGAAAAACTAGCCAGGCGTCATGGTGGGCACCTGTAGTCTCAGCTTCTTGGGAAGCTGAGGCAAGAGGATTGCTTGAGCCCAGGAGTCTGAGGTTGCTGTAAATTATGACACCACGGCATTGTACCCAGGGCACAGAGGAAACTATCTCAAAGAAAAGAAAAGAAGAAAAAGTAAGCATGTATATAGCATATTTTGTATATGAAAAAAATCTCTCACAAATGTTTATTATTGTTATATCAGGTACAATTTTAGGTTTTGTTAGTGTCAGTACATAAATTTGTCTTCATTTCTTTCTTTTTTTTAAATTGAGACAGAATCTCACTTTGTTGTCCTGGGTAGAGTGCCCTGACATCATAGCTCACAGCAACCTCAAACTCTTGGGCTCAAGTGATCTTCTTACCTCAAGTCTCCCCAGTAGCTTATCCTTCAGCATAAGAATATTACAGCTCTTTTTAAAATAATTTTATTTATTTATATGCCAACTCTTTTGAAGATCTTCTACTTGGTTAGCCAACTTACTTAGTCCAGTCCCTCCTCTCCTATCCAATCCTACAATGCGTGTCTGGAGTTCAGTCTCCCTAACTTGGGTATAAGTATCCCTCCCCTTGTTTAGGCTGAGCCCCATTTACCTGTGTCATGGAAGTGGTTCCTTAGATTACATTAAACAATTACCTTTCCTAGTCCAGTGTGGAAGCATGATGTACTCCCAGGCACTTGGGAGGCGGAGGCAGGAGGATCACTGGAGCCCAGGAGTGCAGGGCTGTGAGAAGCTATCATCTCGCCTGTGAATAGTCACTGCTCTCCAGCCTGGGTGACAGAGTAAGACCTCGTATCTAGAAAAAAAATGATTTTTATCTTTCTAGACACTATTTCACTAGAACGAACAGCTTCCTATATATTCCCTGTTGTGCCTTTCTCAGTTCCAAGGGAGACAGAGAGACAAGACGTTTAGCAGGTCTTCTACATGGAAGGTAAAGGCAAAGCGTGGCTTAAAAGCAGAAAACTTAAAATCCAGACTTAAAGTGGATGCATTTGGAAAATTTAAACAGTATTTTCTCCTTAAAACCTAAGGGCATATGACCTCACTTTGTTAACTTCAGCCACACACACACCAAAAAAAAAGGTATTAAATCTGAGAATCTTTTATCTCTCTCAGTTCGGGAGAAGAGTTGCTGAAAATGTTTGTTTTGCCGTCACTTTGACCAGTCTTCACTAAAACCTATTGTCTCCAATTTTTTGGATAGTCTGTTACCTATTTTCATGTGTGTGAGTACGTGTTTTCCTCTGACTGTGCTTCTGACTTCAAATCATGTGCGATCGTCCTAATTGTGTTTTCTTGCTTTGTAAATGTTATGTCGGCTTCTTTGGGCATTTAATTGCCGCTTGTGGACCTCGGCTTTTTGAGCTGCTTTGATTGCTCCAAGTACAGTCAGTGTTCATTTCTTGCATTTTCTTCCCTGCAGATGATTCAATGAAAGTGAAAGATGAATACAGTGAAAGAGATGAGAATGTTTTAAAGCCAGAGTCCATGGGAAATGCAGAAGAGCCTGAAATTCCTTACAGCTATTCAAGAGAGTATAATGAATATGAAAACGTTAAGTTGGAGAGACATACTGTCTCCTATGATAGTGGCAGGCCAACCAGTGGAAAGATGAACTGCGATGTGTGTGGATTATCCTGCATTAGCTTCAATGTCTTAATGGTCCATAAGCGGAGCCATACTGGTAAATAGTCTCCTTTTTCTTCTTTTCTTTCTTGAGACTGAATCTCACACTATTGCCCTGGGTAGAGTGCATAGCTCACTGCAACCTCTCACTCCTGGGCTCCAGCAATCTTTCTGCCTCAGCCTCCCAAATAGCTGAGACTACAGGTGTGTGCCACCACGCTTGGCTAATTTTTCTATTCTTAGTAGAGACAGAGTCTCACTTCTTGCTCAGGCTGGTCTCAAACTCCTGACCTTAAGCCATCCTCCCACCTCAGCCTCCCAGAGTGCTATAATTACAGATGTGAGCCACTGTGCCCAGCTTTTTTTATTCCTTCTTCTAAAAACTATCCTTATGCAGCCATGTGAGAAATGAAATGGTGGGATTTGGGACTGGTGATTACTTCTGTTGATTTTTGCTATAATTCTGATGCATCTCTTTCTCTCTGCATTGTCATCTATTCAGTGATTTTTTTTTTTTATTCCTGCTTTGCCGTGCATTTGGCAAACATTGCAAATGCTATGAATAAAAAAAGAATGCAGAGAGCACAGTGTTCTAGGTCAGCTAACTACTTTTTGCCGGTTTAGAAGTAGGAGTTGAAGTGTGTGATTCATTTCTTAGCCACCTTTCCTGTATTTTTTTGCATAACACTTTTAATAAAAGCAGATCTCCTTACTATATTCGGTTCAGATTTAGTAGATGAAAGGATATTGTTTTTATTGCCAGTTTTAAAGAATCTCTCTTCAGACAATAACCAGTCTCTAGGAATGCATGCAGATGCACCAACCCCTCTCAGCCAATAGACTCCATCTGACATCTGATGAGACTTTTAAAAGAAGACTGGTCCTCAATTTAGGGATTTAGTCTGTGACTTTTTTCCCAGGGAAGATTATACTCAAAAAGAATATTTAGTAATGTAAAAACTTATAGCTAGAAAGCACTTCTAGAGCTACTCTTCTTTCTTTGCTCTGATTCAAGACAAGACGATACCTGAAATAGCTTTGCTAGGTGAGTGCTTTTTCTTTAATACGGGAAGATTCCATACGTCTTAAGCTGGCCTTGCAATGCAACTCCCGACTGATCCCATTCTGAACAGAAACTATCTGAAAGAGGAGCTTTTGCCAGAGGCATCTAATCTGTGCGTGTGCATCTCCACTTGCCTGGTGCTCAGAAATCTCCTTTTTTGTCCTTTTTCAAGGTGAACGCCCATTCCAGTGTAATCAGTGTGGGGCATCTTTTACTCAGAAAGGTAACCTCCTCCGCCACATTAAACTGCACACAGGGGAAAAACCTTTTAAGTGTCACCTCTGCAACTATGCATGCCAGAGAAGAGATGCGCTCACGGGGCATCTTAGAACACATTCTGGTAAGTGAGAGAAATGAGCATTCCATGTCTAGTAACTGCATTCCCCACGGCCCGGTATGAAAACTAGAAAGAGTTAAATATGGAGGTTTTAATCTGTCATTCTTGTTCTGAAGGGTTACAACAGCAGAGACCTCTAGGGCTAATTACACTTCCATTAAGGCATTAATTGCTCTCCGTCTGCCTCAGTGGAGATGATCATCGCCCCACCATCCTTACTTCCCTGGAGAACAACAGACAGAAAGAACCTGCCTGATAAAAAGACTTGTTTTAATTTTTGTGAGAAATTACAGTCATCAATATTTTTCTTTTCTTTCTTTCTTTTCTTTCTTTCTTTTTTTTTTTGTGAGATACAGTCTCAGATTGTCACCCCGCTACAGTGGCATCATCATAGTTCACAGCAACCTCAAACTCTGGGGATCCTCCTGCCTCAGCTTCTTGAGTTGCTAGACTACAGGCATGCAATACCATGCCAGACGAATTTTTTTCTGTTTTTGGTAGAGATAGGGCCTCACTCCTGCCTTGGCCTCCCAGAGTGCTAAGATTAAAGGTGTGCACCACCATGCCCAGCCCATTTTTTGATGGTAAACTTTATTAAAAGATTATTCCTAATACACACACACACACACACACACTTTCCACTCAGAAGACTGGACAAGCAAATGATACACAGTTGGTAAATTATGAAAAACTGTAATCCAGGTACAAATCATTGTTTGTGGGTTACTTTTTGGTCACTCTGGGCTAACTTTCTTAACCCCAACTGTCGTCTTGATCAGCCTACTTATTTTTAAACCTCTAAAAGATGAGCAGCAGTCAGAATTCATAAAAAGCTATGGGGCCTTTTGATGTTTTTACTCCTTATTTTGACCAAGAAAGATAATACTTTTTTTCAACATCTAGAATTTCCCTCCTAGAAAAATAAGACTGAGGGTTTCTTTTTTTTTTTTTCTTCAAATTTGGGACCTCATGTTCTTGATGTTATCTGACAAAATTTTAATTGAAAAAAAAAGTTTGTTTTTATGTTAATCCACATCTACTGCTTTGACTAAACCCCAGCCCCAAACTCGAAACTGGTTATAATTCAGAGACTAGGATTAAACAAGTCAGCCCCAGCAAAACCCACCATGAGAAATCAGAAGTAGCAGAGGAAGGGTTTCTTTCCTTTTACAGCTCATTTTTCTTTTTCTTTCTTTCTTTTCTTTTCTTTTTTTTTGAGACAGAGCCTCAAGCTGTGGCTCTGGGTAGAGAGTGCTGTGGTATCACAGCTCACAGCAACCTCCAACTCCTGCGATTCTCCTGCCTCAGCCTCCCAAGTAGCTAGGACCACAGGTGCCCACCACAATGCCAGATTATTTTTTGGTTGTAGTTGTCATTGTTGTTTGGCGGGTCCGGGCTGGATTTGAACCTGCCAGCTCTGGGGTATGTGCCTGGTGCCTTAGCCACTTGAGCTCATTTTTCAAAGTAATGAATTAAGGATGGGTTTTATTTCAAAAAATTAGAATAGTTCTGTTGCCTTTTTGAAGTAAGAAACAATAGTAGGCATTTTTAGACAGATTCTAAATGACCCCAACTTAGCAGAAACTTAACATTTTTAGCCCTAGCAAACCTGCGTTTATTTTAATTTGGATTTCGTAAAGACCTTTTAGCTCTTAAAATCCCAAAGCCTCAAGAGAAGTTAGAAAATAAAAATTGCAGTTCCTAAAACTCTGAAAAATTTATTGAATATATTTTATTAACAAATAAAAAGGCTAGCTTTGGCTCAGCACCTGTGGCTCAGCAGCTGGGGTTCCAGCCACATACACCGGAGCTGGCAGGTTCAAAACCAGTCTGGGGTCTGCCAAACAACAATGATAACTACAACCAAAAATCACCTGGGTGTTGTGGCAGGTGCTTGTAGTCCCAGCTACTTGGGAGGCTGAGGCAAGAAAATCACTTAAGCCCAAGAGTTTGAGGTTGCTGTGAGCTGTGACACCATGGTACTCTACCCAGGAGGACAGCTTGAGACTCTGTCTCAAAAAAAGTAAAAAATAAAAAAGGCTAGCTTTGCACAGAGTAGATAAACTTAACATGTTTTCAGCAATGAAGCATCTGGGGAGTTGGGAGGATGAAGGTGTCCTGAATTGTATGTAAACTTTTGAAGAAACTTTTGCTTCATTTTAGACATTTAGAGGAAGTCATGTCTACAATTCATTCTTATTTCTGTTATTCAAAAACATCCTTCATTAGCTCAATTTGTATTGTTTAAACCATAGCCTATTTGCTACTGCCACTTGGTAAGGACAAGCGAACTTTATTCAAATATGTCAATATGCCAAAAAGGCCATCAATCCCTAGTAGAACTAACTTTCACAAACTCCAGCATTCCTGACTTATAGTCGAATAGATATCACAAAATAAGGAGTTTCTTCCTATTTTATTCTCATTCCATATACTCTCCTGGAAGAGTAAAGGGCCCTATTTTCTTTTTCCTGAAGAGACAAGATTTGACCTGGAGCCAGAACACTACGCTCAATGGTAAAATCATTAAATCCAAATCCTTTCATCTGTGACAGGAGGTGATCCTTTTGAAGAATACCCTGACATAATCATTAATCACAAACCCTGGCCTTGTTTCAGCTAAATAAATTTTAAACCAAGATAAAATTTAAGAGTATCCAAGTACACTGGCATGAACTGTGGTCCCAGAGCCCCCACGCACCCTCTGTATGGAACTCCCGTAACTCTTGAGGGTTACTGAGCGTTCCTTGTGCTCTCCCCCTAGTTGAGAAACCCTACAAATGTGAGTTTTGCGGAAGGAGTTACAAGCAGAGAAGTTCCCTTGAGGAGCACAAGGAGCGATGCCGCACATTTCTTTCAAGCACTGACCTGGGAGACACTGGTGAGTTCATGCAACGCCCCCGTTCCATGCACATTTAGTGAACATCTGCTGTCCTAGAAGGCCAAATAGGTTAGTAACAAGACAAAAAGTCCTGCCCTTGGGGAGTTCATAGTTTCATCGTGGCAGACAGATTATAAACAAAGTAAACAAACAACTTAGCTGTTAGAAGGTTGTAAGTGCTATTGAGAAAAATGAAGGAGGTACTGAGGGGTGAGGGTGAGTTAGGGAAGGCTTCAGGGAGGTAATATTTCAATAGACTTAATAGGATGAAGAGAGTAAGCCCCGCAGATAACTAGGGAACAGCAATGCAAAGGCCCTGGGGCATCAATTGAAGACCTATCAATACTCTGGTGCAGATGAAACAGAGTGAGTAATGGGATATGAAGCCAGAGAGGAAATGAGAAATCAGTCTTATCAGGTCTTATAAGCCTTCCTAAAGACTTTGGCTTTTTACTCTAAGTGAAACCCCACACTCTCTCAGTCCTCTACCCCCCACCATGTATTAGGTCATCTACTGCCTTCATATTAGAATTGAGTATATTGGATTCTTGCTTCTCCATTTTTGTGATGCTTTACTAAGAAGAATGTGTTCCACCTCTATCCAGGTTAATACAAAAGATATAAAGTCTCCGTCTCCTTTAATGGCTGAATAGTATTCCATGGTCTACATATACCACAGCTTGTTGATCCATTCCTGGGTTGGTGGGCATTTAGGTTGTTTCCACATTTTAGCAATTGTAAATTGAGCTGCAATAGACAGTCTAGTGCAAATGTCCTTATGGAGAAGTGAGCATTGAAACAGTTCCCATCTTGAATGAGAGGAAATTTGTGTTTCAGATAAAGTCCAAGTAACGGTGTTAGGAGCTGGCCAACTGAATTCTTTTAGTTTGCACTGCTTCTGCTTTTTATCCTGATGGTATCTTTGGTTTTATCAAGGAGTTGGATTTCCTCTTTCTTTCTTTCTTTCTTTCTTTTTTTTTTTTTTTTTGGAGGCAGAGTCTCACTCTGTCACCCTGGGTAGAGTATGGTGGTGTCATAGCTCTCAGCACCCCCAAACTCCTGGGCTAAACCAATCCTCTTGTCTCAGCCTCCTAAGTAGCTGGGACTACAGGTGCCTGCCACAACACCCAACTAGTTTTAGTAGGAGGTCTCTCTTGTTCATTCTGGTCTGGAACTACTGAGTGATCCACTGGTCTCAGCCTCCTAGAGTACTAGAATTACAGGCATGAGCCACCGAGCCTGGCTTTCCTCCTTATTTCTAAAGAGAAATACTTTACTCCCTTAAAAATGCAAACAGGCTGGACCTGGTGGTGAGCACCTGTATTCTCAGCTACTTGGGAGGCTGAGGCTGGAATATCCCTTGAGCCCAGCAATTTGAGTCCAGCCTGGGTAGCATAGTGAGACTCTATCTCTTAAAAAATTTTTTAAAAATCAATGGCCAGGCACCGAAGCTCACGACTGGGAGACTGAAGTGGGTGGATCACTTAAGCTCATGAGCCTCTACTAAAAACAAAAAACTGAGGCAGAGGATCCTTGAACCCAAGAGTTCAAGGTTGCTGTGAGCTATGATGCCACAGGGTGACAAAGTGAGACTCTGTCTCAATAAATAAATATATATATATATATTTGTAGCAGGCGCCTGTAGTCCCAGCCAATCGAGAGGCTGGGGCAAAAGAATCACTTGAGCCCAAGAGTTTGAGGTTGGTGTGAACTATGACACCACAGCACTCTACCCAGGGGGACAGGGTGAAACGAGACTCTATCTCCCCCGAATAAATGAACAAAAATAAAAAATAAAAACCTCTTAAAGTAACACGCTTCACGTGAGGCAGTACTTACCCAGTGACAGAGCACCGGCATCTCTACTCGGCAATTCCACATTTCCGACATATGCCAAGCTTACTGTGAGAAACTCCCAGGTTATGAAAATCCACTATTTTCCAAATAGAATCCTATTTAAATCTAGAGAGATGAAAGGGAGCCTCTGATCCTACCTCTTTCTTTTAGAGGTAAGGAAATTGAGACTCGTTGACTGACTGGTATTCCACAGTGTATATGAAAAAAAAAATTCAGTGACTTACTGAAAAATCACTAGGGCTTAAGTTTTTGTGATTAACCACATTTTTTATTTAAAAAAATTTAAGATGTAATTCACAAACTACAAAATTCACCTTTTTAAAAGTGCCCAGTTCTGGCTCAGTGCCCATAGCTCAGTGGTTAGGGCGCTGGCCATATACACTGGGGCTGGCGGATTGGAACCCAGCCTGGGCCTGCTAAAAAATAATGACAACTGCAACAACAACAACAATAACAAAATAGCCAGTGTTGTGGCAGGGGCCTGTAGTCCCAGCTACTCAGTAGGCTGAGGCAGGAGAATCGCTTAAGCCCAAGAATTTGAGATTGCTATGAGCTGTGACACTACAGCACTGTACCAAAAAAAAATTTTAAAAGTGCACAGTTCAGACTCCCTGGGTAGCTTCCCTTGGTTGAGTCAGCAGCGTGAGGGACCCACCATGTCATGTCATCGGCACCTCTCTGCCCCCGGTGCACCTGCCAGCTGGCAGAGCTCACACAGGGGTCTACCAGCTGGCCTGAGGGTCCCAGCACCACCTCAACCGCAGCTGGGATTGACAGCGTCATGAGGCATCTCCTGTACTTCTGCCTGGGCCAAGTGGTGCGGAGCTTCGAACAGGGCTCCAAGCAGCATCCCCACAGCTAACCTTCCTGAGCAAGTAGTAGCTAATCTCCCAGCTGATCCATTGGCTGGCATTTATTATGGTTGGGCCGGTGTTGGAAGTGAAGATGTCCTGAAGTTGGTGGTAAGCATAGGCTAGAACCCTACTATAAGAAAATGGAAAAACCCATGGCTGTAGGAAGCTCAGGGCTTGCATATCTTCAAAGAGGACTTCTATGGGGGAAATTCTCACTGTGGCCATCACTGGCTACCTCAGACCAGAAAAGAACTTTAATTCTTTTTTTTTTCATTTGGAAAATAGTTTATTGCTTTTTCTTCCAAAGCTTTATTAATCTACCAGAAAAGGATCAAAGCTTACAGACTGCTTAGTTCAGACTAATAATGCAAGAAGTAAGACCCTACTATGTGGCCACAGGTGGCAGCTGTGCACTGACGCTTACAGTGAGCCCCCCGCCTGGCGGTGCTGCCTTCAGAAGGCTGCGTTCCTCACCCACTGACGTACTTAGATTGTTAGTCAAGTCGCTGGAATAGTACAGAGGTTTTTGGTTTGAGCCTTTTTTGCCTTCCTACTATAAAAGTGAAATTTTCAGTTCATTTCTGAAAAATAAATTGGTCAATAAATTCATTTTGTTCTGCTTCTACTTTATATTCAACCTGATGCCTGTCTAGCTGTGCCTTCTTTTCTGCTATTAGTGCTTGAAGTGGCCGTTGTCGGGCTTCTCTCTGCTTGGCTGTAGATTTGAGCAGGTTCCCAGCACCGATGGCCTTCATCTTCTCGTTTTCTGCTGCTTTTGCAAGTTGGTCAGCAAGCTCAATTCAACCACTGACTATTTTCTGAAACCGGCCAATATTGTCCACAAAGCCCTTGTACTCTTCCTTGAGCTCTATGGTCTGCTGGGTAACCTCTGGGTCCAATACCTGAAGCTGGTTTAGCTCACCAAAATGCAGCCCTACTTCACCGGGGATGTCCTTGGCCATAGCTGTTTCCCTTGAGTCCCCTAGAGAAGTTCTGCTCTGAAGGGGTGACAGTGGCAATCAGCAGGAGGTGCGTCATAGGAGCAAGGGTCAGGAAAGAATAAGGTCCGGCTGCTTGTCACAGGCACCGTCCATTCAACACATATTGCTTGAGTGCCTACTGCATGCCAACACTGCAAGATGCTGCGGGTCCAAAGAGGAATGCAACATGGTGCCTGCCCTTTACGCCTAGGTTTTGTGTTAGAGCCCCAAGAACTTTAATTCTTTACAGTCCCTTGTTTCAGCAATTCAAGCTGACACTGAAGAAGCTACGAAACGACTAGATCTACCCGAACATTTAAAACTCAAAGAAGACAGTTTCTTTTGGGTTCCTAAAAGCAAAATAATGAATGGCCACCAGTGAAATTTCATCTTGTTTATTCCTTCACCGATGTCTAGTATTTCCCTGTTTATAACTGTCTCGTCTCATCTCAGTTATATTTTAAAAATCATTTTCCTTCCACCGGCATTCAACAGTACAGTAGTAGTTACCATATTGTACTTCACCTATTAAATTAAACCCATCACGATTTCTTTATGGACCACATTGATTAAAATATACCACTAACAAGGCAGAAAAAAATAAAGTGCACAGTTCAGTCATTTTTAGTGCAATCACAAAGTTGTATAACCATCAGCACTATCTAATTCCAGAACATTCTCACCACCCCAGAAGCCATGTTGTACTCTTAGCAGTCTCTCCCTCTTAACCTTCCCTCCAGCCCCTGGCACCCACTAATCTATTAATACTTACTGTCTCTGTGGATTTGCCTATTCTGGACATTACACGTCCATGTCCAGATGGAATCACAATATGTGGCCTTTTGTGTCCAGCTCCTTCACTGAGCATGATGTTTCTGAGGCTCATCCAGTTGACCCAGGTATCAGTACCTCCTTTCCTTTTGTGGCTGGATAATATTCCATTGTATGGACTTACTACAATCTATTTATTCATTCATCAGCTAGTAGATACTGTTTTTTCACTTTTGGGCTTGAGTGCTATATTCCTTGAAGATTATATATTTTCTGGTTAGCAAAAGAAATATAGTTACACACATGTTAAATAGAGACACACTCCTGGAAATAAGGGGGGGAGTTATCTGATCTGGGGGGGCTGGGCGTGGTGGCACAGACCTGTAATTCCAAGGTGGGAGGACTGCTTGTGGCCAGGAGTTCGAGATCAACCTGGACAGCATAGTGAGAATTCATCTCTGCAAAAATGTAAGAATTAGCCAGGTATAGTAGCGAGCCTCTGTAGTCCCAGCTACTTGGGAGGCTGAGGTAGGAGGATTTTCCTGAGTCCAGGAGTTCGAGGTTGCAGTGAGTTATGATCCTGTCACTGCACTCCAACCTGGGTAACAGAGCAAGACCTTGTCTCAAAAAAAACCCCAAAATTATTAATTTTGAAGTAAGGTCACCACCTTATTTCCCATTCCCACAATTTTTTCCAGAATTTCGAATTAGGAAAAGTATCAGAAGTAGTATTTGAGTTATCTTCAGTGGTATTAGATGATTCAGGAAAGGCTGAAATATAGAGGCTGAGTTAATTTGCATTTCATAGGGTAGTTTGACAGATTCTTGAAACTTTAGGTCTCAGCAAAAAAAAATAAAAAAGGTTAACTAAGTCAGCAAGATTTGACTTTTAAAAGAAACATATGTTGTAATAGTGGTTTCAGTTTACAAAATGTGTAAAGTCACAGCTTAATCAAATATAAATACTGCATGTCCATCAATATACTATCCTTTATACTTCAATGGCGCCCATGACTTTTCCTGAGATCTAAAATGTGAAAAATTTTTCAATTTGACACAAGCCAATCTTTTAATTATTGCTACTGCTCCCTATATGAGTTCCATTTGTGTTTCTTTTTTAAAATTGGGAGGCTAGTGTGGAATAGCATTTCATTCCAAGCCTGATGGATCATGTTCCGTCATCCCTCATGTTTACAGAAACAACCCTGCATTACATATGTAGAGGCAGCACTCAGTGTCAAGTGCAGTCTTGTAAATTGAAGTGCATCGTAGTGTGAGGGCCTTGCAGACAGTTGAAGAGGTCTTGGAGTGAAGACCAGCCTGCAAAGGAAGACAGGAGTTGAGCAACAGGGCTTTCAGCCTTGCCAGTCATTTCCTTTTATTCAGATAGCATTTGTTGAGTTCTCTATGTGCCAGACTGTGTATTAAAACTGTAAAGAGGAGTAAAAATTAAGCCTCTATTTTTTTTTTAAAGACAGGGTCTGTCACTTGGGCTAAAGTGCAGTGGTATAATCATAACTCACTGCAATCTCAAGCTCCTGGGCTCAAGTGATCCTCCTGGCTCAGCCTCCCAAGTAGCCAGGACTACAGGTACTCACCACCATGGTCAGCTAAATTTTAAAAAATTTATTGAGAGACAAGGTCTCTCTATTTTGCCCAAGCTGGTCTCAAACTGCTAACCTCAAGCAATCCTCCTGGCCTCTTGCCTTGGCCTCCCAAAGTGCTAGGATTACAAGAGTGGAAGACTCACTTGAGCCCAGGAGTTGGAAGTTGCTGTGAGCCATGATGCCACTGCACTCTACCCAGGGGGACAGCTTGAGGCTCTGTCTCAAAAAAAAGAAAAGAAGGATTGATCCTTGTTCCAGAAGGGGACTAACAACTGGCATAGAGATTCATTTAGTCTCATTTCACACAAATTATGAATACTTGTAGCAGGACATAATTTTGTCTTACCATGAATTCTAGCAATCATAAAATTTTAAAGTAATCATTTATGGATTTAGAAGTCAAAACCCTTCGTCTTCAATCTCATTGTCTCAGTGAAGCTAATACAAACATGAGGGTTTGAAAACAAACTTAATATTTTCACTAACGTGGCAGACCAAAGAAAATGCTAAAAATTTCTTTTGTCCAGTGGGTAGGGCGCCAGCCCCATATACGGAGGGTGGTGGGTTCAAACCCAGCCCTGGCCAAACTGCAACAAAAAAATAGCCTGGCATTGTGGCAGGCACCTGTAGTCCCAGCTACTTGAGAAGCTGAGGCAAGAGAATGGCCTAAGCCCAAGAGCTGGAGGTTGCTGTGAGCTGTGATGCCCCAGTAGTCTACCGAGGGTGACAAAATAAGACTCTGTCTCACAAAAAAATATATATATATATATTTTCCCAACCTGTACTTTTATTTGAGACAGAGCCTCAAGCTGTCGCCCTGGGTGGAGTGCCGTGGCATCACAGCTCACAGCAACCTCCAACTCCTGGGCTCAAGTGAGTCTCCCACCTCTGCCTCCCAAGTAGCTGGGACTACAGGTACCCGCCAAAACGCCTGGCTATTTTTTGGTTGCAACCATCAATGTTGTTTGGCGGGCCCAGGCTGGATTCGAACCCGCCAGCTCAGGTGTATGTGGCTGGTGCCTTAGCCACTTGAGCCACAGGCGCCGAGCCCCAACCTGTACTTTTTAAAGATCAGTACTATCCCACAGGTAGTATTCATTTTACTCACTCAGCAAAATCAACAGTTTTATGTAATTTGTGTTAGCACCTACCTCTGTTTTTGATAGCAATCTCTTATTAGACAATTTTTATTGCACAATAACAGCTCTTTGTTCCACTCTCCATTAGCTACTACTGCCTGACCACCCCATAGAAGAGAAAGGAACACCACTGAACACTTAAGTTCCATTGAACACTTCAAGATCTAATGAAAGATTTTGAAACAAAACCAAAATACAACATAATTTTTTATATAGTTCAATTGCCAGGGACTCTGAGCTAGAAATTGCATCATGGAAACAGTTAACTAGGCTTGGCGCCTGTGGCTCAAGCGGCTAAGGCACCTGCCACATACACCTAAGGTGGCGGGTTCAAATCCCCAGCCCGGGCCCGCCAAACAACAATGATGGCTGCAACCAAAAAATGGCCAGGCGTTGTGGT